TTATAATGGGTATTGAATTTTATCAAATGTTTTTTCTACTTCAATTGATATAATTTTTATTTTTTAGCCTTTTACTTGGTGAAGGTGATTTTTTTTAAATGTAAATAAGATTTTTTTACATCTCTGTAGTTAACCCCACTTGTTATAGCAATTGTCTTTTACATATTGCTGAATTCTGTTTGCTAATATTTTCTTAAGAATTTTTTTTGGTACCAGGGATCAAACTCAGGACCTTGTACTTGCCAGGCGGGCATGGTGCCACTGAGCTACATCCCCAGCCCATGTTAAGGATTTTTGTACTCATATTTTGTGGTTTTGAGCTCAGGCTAGCAAAACTTGTGGTGATCCTCCTGCCTCAGCCTCTCAAGTGCTGGTATTACAGAGATATGTTTGTGGTCTTAAAATATTTTGGTCTGCAGCTTGTGCTATTATTTGTCTGATATCTGTGTAATACTGGGCTTGTAGAATGAACTTGGAAGTGCTTCCTTCTTCTGCTTTCAAGAAGAGGATGTACAGAATTGGTGTTAGTACTTATTTTCTCCAGTGAAAGTATCTAGAGTTATAGATACTGCTTTTGGAGTTTAAAAATTAGAAATTTATTTTCCTCAATACTTTTAAGGTATGTTTTTCTGTTTTCATCTATTTAGTAAAATGCTTAAGACAATAAACTTATAAAGAGAAAAGCTTGGTTTTTTTCTCACAGTTTTGAATGTTCCAGTCTAACTTGCCCCTTTATTTGGGCCTTTAACAAGACAATACATTATGATTAGAAGAGTGGTGAAGCAAAATCACTTATGTTAAGTGCCAGGATGTATAAAGTGCAAGAAGACTAAGGTTCCACAATTTCCTTCAAGAGGAGCCCACAGTGGACTAAATACTCCCAATAACGGTTCCACCACCTCCCAGTCGTACCATCCTAGGGGCTAACACTTAATGTGGGCCTTAGGGGGACATTCATCATCCAATCAATAGCACATGACTATTCAAGTAATGTTTTATATACAGTGCATCATAGTTGTTTATTCTTTTTAAGAAATTAGCTCATTTCCTCTGAGTTGTTATAATGTATGTATATGGAATTCTTGATAGTAGCCCTGTACTAGCCTTATGATACCTACAGGGTCTGTAATGATATCTTCATTCTTTTTTTTTTTCCTTTTGTTGCTGGGGATCAAACTCGGGTCCTTGCACTTGTGAGGCAGGCGGCGGAACCACTGAGCTAAATCCCCAGCCCGATATCTTCATTCTTGATGTTGGTAATTTATATCTTCTCATTTTTTGCGAGTCAATTCGTGAATCATTTTGAAGGACCAACTTTTTGTTGCCTTGTTTATTCTCTGTTTTCCTATTTTCAAATGTTTTGATTATTGATTTGAGGTTTTTCTTCTAATATAAGCTTTAAATAGTATAAAATTCTCTCATAGTATTGGTTTAGCTGTTTTTCACAAATTTTGATATTTTAAATTTTCATTTCCATTTTATTTTTAAATTTTTTAGTGAGTCTTCTTTTTTGACCAATGTGTTGCTTAGAAGTGTGTTGTATTATTACCAAGGGTTCATAAATTTTGATATTACCCATTACCAAGTTCTAGTTTGATTTTACTGTGATCAAAGTAAATATTCTACATTATTTTAATTTTTTTGAACTTGTCAAGATTTATTTTATGTCCTATAATGTGATCTCTCTTATGTCTAGTGGCACCTGAAAAGAATATGTACTCTGCTGTTGTTGGATGAAATATTTGGTTAGATTCTATAGATTGATGGCATGTTGTCTTCTTCTGTATCCTTGCAAATATCCTCTCTGGTTGTTCTATCAAATGTTGACAGAGTAACGTTAAACATCTCCAACTGTAATTGTGGATTTGTTGATTTTTTTTCTTTCAGTTTTTTTCCTTCCTGTGTTTGTTTTTAATCTTTGTTGTTTGGTAAACACACATTTTGGCAAATACACATTGCTATATGTTCTTGATGGATTGACCTTTTATCATTATATGATATCCTTCTGAGTGTCATTTTCTTTGCTCTAAAACCTAGTTTACATAGTTTCTCATCTTTTGATTAATATTTGCATGATATATCTTTTGCAACATTTTGCTTTCATTGTCTCTCTTATTCTTAGAGATAGCATACAGATAGATCCCATTTTTATTCCATTCTGCCAATCTGTCTTATAATTTGTTTATTTAGACCATTTACAATTACTGTAATTATGGATATGTTAGGACTTAGTTCTGCCTTTTTTACTTTTGCTTTTTCTGTTTATTCTTTTTCCCTTTGTTTTCTTTTATGTGACTTTTCATGGGTACTACTTGAACATTTTTTAGAATTTCACTTTGGTTTATTTATAATGTTTTTGTGTGTATATATTTTTATAGCTATTTTAATGATGACTCTGGGCATTACATTAAATATACATAACCTGTCACAGTCTACTGAGTCAACATTTTGTCTGTTTATGTGAATTGTAGAAGCCTGTGTCCCTTTATATTTCATTAGCCTCCTATTCTTAAAATGATTGTTTTTAGTATTTTCTCATTTAGAACCACATTAAACAGCTTAATAGGGCTGGGGATTTAGCTCAGTGGTTCCACTGCCTGCCTTTCAAGCACAAGGTCCTGAGTTCAATCCCCTGTACCCCCCCAAAAAAAAGCATAATAAATTTTGTTATAGTCATAATTTTGAAAATTTAAGTATAGTAGGAAGACATTCTGTTTGCCTATATTATTTTACATATATCTTTCCTTTTATGTCTTTCTTCCCACAGTCCTGAGGCTCTGTTTTGCCAGTCTATATTTCCCCTTCTTATTTGGTATTTACTCTCATTCTGTCTCTACATTCATTCATATTTTTCTGTGACTCGTCCATTCTGATGTTGATATTTTATAACATTTTGGTTTGTAGTTCTGAAACATCCACTTTTAGAAAATATTCTATTTCTTTGCTGACATCTTTTTTTATTTGTCTCAAGTTCACTCATAATTGCTCAGTGAAACATTTGCATAATAGCTATTTTAGCATCTTTGTCTGATAATTCTAGCATGTATGTATGTCATCTCAGCAGTGCCATCTAGTAGTTGCCCTTTTTCCATGAGGTTGAGATTTTTCCTGATTCTTAGGTACAAGAAATTATTTTAGATAAAAACTTGGACATTTATGGTGTGCTAAATGTCCCAAATCTTATGAGATTCTGGGTCTTATTTAAACCTGTTTTAGGTAGCTTCATCTGACACTACTTTGTAAGAGGAGATGGGGACAGGCTGTCACTGCCAGGTGCACTTGATATCTGAGACAGAGAAGGAAATTCCTGAACAGGGATCTGCATTCCTGCAAAGCTCTACTGATAATACCCTGGCTGGGAGAGCCAGGGGTGCCTTATGGCTGCCTCTCAGGTGGCTGCCCCTGACAACACTGGGCAGTGGTGATAGTCCTAACTTTCTAAGCTTTCTGTGGCACTACTGGAGGTTATTACTATGAGGTGAGGGTTCAATAGAGGCACTGAGCTAGTCTCCGCTCTCACAGTGAGGGTGTACTCATTGCAGGCATACAGGGATTCTCTTGCCCCACCTTCTCACCCTACTCCAACCTGGCAAATGGGGCTCTTCACTAGAGAACAGTGAGAGTAGAAGTCTGGTCTCTCCACTTGGCCTTAATAGAAAGCGTGGGAACTTTTTACAAGCTTCTTGTGGCATTTCCCCAGAGTAGACAAGTTATTATCCAAATATTTTCTGCCTTGCTAAATTAGCCCCTTTCTTAGTCCTTTGATGAAAGAAAATGGGCTTTAGGTGGGGGGCTTTTTTTGGATCAGCACCTATTGCTGTTTCCAGGTGGCCATCTGTTTTATTTAGCTCCAAGTCTGGGATATAAGGGCAAGGCAGAAAGAAATCCTAGAGGCATAATGCTGTATCATTCTTCAGTTCCTCTGAGCTTTGGCTCCTGAAGTTTCTGGGTGCTGCCTGGTCTGCCTTCTCTCCACCTTTCAGTGTTTTCTTGTGGTCATCATATACTTTATATATTAAGTCAGGCACTTTAGTTGTACTCAGTAAGAAAAATAGACAAAAGTATGTCTATTTCTTTTCCCAGATCTGAAGTCCTAATTTTTTCTTGTTTTCAGCCCCTCTTGTTTTGAGAGGTGGTTATTAAAGTGTTTTACCTCTCAGATGACCGAAAGGAACCAGGAGAATTTTGTTTAGTATATTCCCAGTCCTTTTTTACTTCAGTGTGAGGCATTTCAGTTAAATATGGCCAGTTTGCTAGCAAAAGTAAAAGTTCCTTTGTGATCTCATACTATGTTCTTTGAAAATTAGAACTGTTTAAATATCTCTGTTTGATTATAAATAATATTTAATTCATTGAGTACTTTCTTGTGCCCGTTGATAGTCATTGCTCATTCTCTGCATTTCTCTCAGGAAGGGCACAGAGCATGAGAACTGGCCTGAGGGAGCTCAAGCCTGATAATTTAAATGGTCTTCTTCCATTCCTGACACAGGATTTCACTGGAAAAGTAGTCAGATTCCCTGACAACCACACTTGAAAATTAGGGGCAGCTGTTTGTCACTCTGCAGGCTGATTTGGTCCTAGCTGTCCATCATTTAGGAGCAGCTGTCACTCTATGGTCTGGCTTGTCCTAGGTCTACTGGTAGGAATACTGTCCCTCCATGTACTGGCCTGCTCTTACCTTCCCATCATTAGGGGTGGCTGTCACTGTACAAGCTGACAGTGGTCTCAGCTGTCAGTAGCAGGTATGTGATTGCTCTTACATACTTTTTGGGTTTTTTTGAGACAGGGTCTCACTATGTAGTTGAGACTGACCTGGAACTCACTGTGTAGTCCAGGCTGGTCCCAAACTCACAGCAATCCTCCTGCCTCAGCCTCCCGAGTGCTGGGATTACAGGCGTGTGCCACAATGCCCAGCTATGCTCTTACATTCTTGATTTAGCAAAATATAAAGGATAATTCAACTTTATAAATAAAATGTTCAATTTTGTTCTCTTTCCCAGGCACAAACTTATTATCCCAAATGGAAGTTGTCCTGTTATTCTGAATACTTATTTTTGTCAGAAATTTGTTGCCAAAGAAGACTCAGAAACAACTTATGATGTGTACTGTCGGGATACACCCCTTCCGAGAAGAAACATCATTTTGGCTCAGATATTTAGAATTAAGGGTATAACAGATAATTCACCTGAAATCCAGGTAAGGTCTCATTGGCTCAGAGGTTTTATGCTTTCAGTAATATTTGAGACTGGATTTGAAAGGATATAGGTTATGAGGATGTTCACTTTGGGACCTCCTCTAAAAATATATTCTAGAACATTTTATTAATGTTATCCTTGAAAACATTGTAGTTCAGGTCAGTATTTAGTTGCAGTCTTTTAACACTATCTTCCTCATTATGCATTTTTAATCTTTATTCCAATATATTAAAATATATGAAAGTATTTTCTCTGTTCGTATCTTACAGCTAAGAAGTTTAGGTCTGTCTTTATTTTTTTTTAATCTTTGTTTTTCTTTTCCATAAAATGTATATCCCTTGAGATTAAAAAGAGCTTCATAAACTGGTGCTTATACCCTAGAGATTGATTTTTGGAATTTTTATGGCCCTGAACCATGATCATTTGCTAGGATGAATTTGGGGAACCACTAAAATTCACTGACAGTGGGCATGCTGTGTGCCATAGAAACAGTCTCAGCTCTGGGAGTCAGTGTTGTTTCTACCACGCAGGCCTCAATCTCAGAAGGTTACAGAAACCTTCACAAAACAAAACGTTCAGACTGACATATCAAGAAAGGGAAAATTACACAAACCTTTACTCTTTTTTTTGTTTGTTTGCTTTGATTTCCTTTATTTTCAGTACTAGGGATTGAACTCACAGGGTGCCCTTTTTATTTTGAGACAGACTCTTGCTAATTGCCTGGGCTGGCCTCCTACTTGAAATCCTCCTGCCTCAGCCTTCCAAGTAGCTGGGATTACAGGGGTATATCATTGCACCAGCCACCCTGTTTGTGCCATATATCAAAGCAAAAGTCTCCAGTATCTATTTGAAGAAGTTTATGGAAGGACTTACTGAAAAGGAAAGAGCTCTAATCAATTTAATTATAACACTGAAAATATGGCTCAAAGTACATTTTTAAACAGTTCTGCAATGTGAAGTTGATTAGGTATAATTTTGTCTCATAACAGTGGCAATGAAGCTGCTGTGTGGCATAATGGTTGAGAATGTGGACTTTGGTACAATATGCCCTGGTTCAAATCTTACCTCAGCCATTTTATGCTGGGTGACGTTTGGCAGTCTCTTTGTATCTCAATTTTGCCTAAAAATTGAGATAATGATATTGTATCCCATGTTGAGTCATTATGAGGATAAACATTAATTTTTTGTCCTTCCAGAATAGAGCCTGGAAGATAGAAAACACTTTAGAAGTATTGTTGTCTTAACAGTAGTTGATATTATTGCATAGGGTAATTTGGAGAATATGTGAGTATGCAAAACATTTAGTCTAGTAGTTTGCATATATGAGCACTTAATAAAGTACTTCATTTTTATTATACCCTTGTCATTCTTTTACTTTGTATTTTACTTTGTCCTTTTAGATGTGTCACCTCAAAAAGAAAAAAAAAACAATGGTTAATTACCATAAGGTATTTAATAGCAGGACTGTCCATGCTGGAATTCTGTTGGTAGGAAACACTCTGGTGTCCACATTATTGTCATCTACCTGTCCCTCCTCGGTAGACTAGTTACCTGACAGACATAGAGAGCCTCCCACTACAGATTTGTTGCTTTTATCTTCACCATTCCTTCAGTTCAGTAAAGATTCTTCAAGTAATTACTTGGTGGGTAACATGATGTTGTAGGCAAAACTGAAAAAGCTCCTTTTGCTTTCTTGGCCAGGTTGTACATAGTGGCCTGGCCACCACAAGTGCAGGTTGCACCCATGGGCATGAAGAGGCAAAGCAGCACCTCACAGCTGGCGCTTCCTCAAAGAATTCTCTCCTGGATGTGGTGGAAAGCCAGGGAGCTGCCCCATATTCAGAAGTGGGTGTCCGAGTGGTGGTACAGAGAGTTTACTTCCTTCCTTCCAGAGACGGCTCCAGAGGCCAGCAGCGGAGTGGCTCAGGGTATGCCGACCAACCAGGAACTCAGTGAGTATCAAAATATGAGCATGGGTGGGGAAGGTCATCCAGACCTCATTTAATAATTCATTTAATGACCTGGTGACGGGAACAGACCCTGTTTGTTAAACAGTGAATGTGTTGTTTGATTTCTTGATGATAGCCAATTCTTTTTTGGGTAGGATAGAATCTCAGTGTTGTTTTTTTTTTTTTTTTT